GCTGACAAAATGGTAGGAATCCTTTATGTGTGCTCGTGTATGTCCCCTGAACGGCGAAAGAATTCATTCATATTTAAGAAATCATTTAGTCAGCGAGATTAAAGACAGACAGTGAAAGTATGGTCAGTTTTGATGTGCAGTCATTGTTTACATGCTTACCTGTTGAAGACTGCATCTCAATTGTAACTAGAAGGCTGGAAGAAAACAACATTCCCGTAGAATATGCAGTATTTCTTAGACACTGCTTTACATCTGGCTACCTATTGTGGAAGGAGGAAATCCACAAGCAAGTAGATGGTGTGGCGATGGGCTCACCTATATCTCCCATTGTCGCGGACATATTCATGGAAGACTTTGAAGAGAAAGCCCTGCTTACTTCTCCCATAAATCCAAGATTCTACGAGCGGTACGTAGACGACACTTTCACAATTCTACCTTTAGATAAAGTAACTGCATTTTTAGACAATCTTAACTCTATAAATTCTAAAATTCAGTTCACAATGGAGTTAGAGGCAAACAACTCTTTAGCTTTTCTAGATGTGTTAGTAATTCGGAATCCTGGTAACACCTTGAACCATACTTTGTATAGAAAAAAGACCCATACAGATAGATATTTAAACGGTGATTCTCACCACCATCCTTCACAGTTAGCTACCGTGGATAAATCTTTTTTTCAGAGAGCACGAGGGATCTGTGACAGTAGGCACCTGGCTGCCGAGCTCCACCACGTCAAGCAAGTTTTGCACGACAACAATCTTCGGGTCCCGCGCCAGCGTCACAGTGAACGAGTGAAGCCGGCCACAGTCGAGCGTATACCTGCTGTACTGCCATATGTTAGAGGAGTCACTGACAAGATTGGCTACATCTTGAAACACGCTTCCATCAAAACATACTTCAAGCCGCCGAAGAAGATTGGTCAGTTTTACCATCAGTGAAGTGTAACGTCCCTCTGCAAGATGCAGGAGTGTACAAGCTAGATTGTGAATGTGGTCTCTCCTACATAGGAAAAACTAAAAGATCAATCAAAACCCGCGTTAAAGAACACATAGCTAATGTGATGAATCCACGCTCCGGGAAGTCTCTAGTCTGTGAATACGTACAGGATCGCTCCAGTCACTACATCAGATTTGATAGACCACAAATCCTCGCTAAAGAACACCGATTCCTTCCAAGGATGACTCGCGAGGCTATTGAAATCAAAAAACATCCTAATTTCAATAGAGAAGATGGCTGGGTGCTACCATATGCTTAGGATGCTATAATAAATTAAATCAAATCTCAACCCAAGCATACAACTGCAAGACTTCAAGATACCATAAGTTCATACTGTGTAGATCGGAACAAAAGTTAAATTTTAATCTATGGTAACCGCGGTTAACTATGACATCTGGACGTTGAACACCTCAGTCCCCCCCCCCGTGGCCATGTGTGCTGTAAAGCTCTCGAAACTTTGGGTATTTAAAAAGTTAAATATACACGTTAAATTCCGTAAAAACTAGTATTATTTCAATACACTAGGGCATAGCTTGCTGATTCCGCCGTTCACTTTTGCAACATAAGTTTGATTTTTCTTTCTTTCCTCGTTCATTTTTTCTACCTGACTTATTAATTTCTACATCTACGACACAACAGAAACATGCCTTTTTTAATACTGATCACAAAATCATCTTACAAACCACACTGAAACTTATAGTTTTTTAATTATTACAAACCAAAACGATAAGTACCTGTGTATGTAATAACTTTAAGATTTTAGCTATTTTATAGAGAACGTTATCGTTTTTAGTTTAAATTTTCTATCTATGATTTAATTTTTATTCATGTTTTTCTATAGATCAACATTAATTAAAATAATGAAATAAAATATGTTACATATTTCTTCGAAATAAGAAAATTTAAATTTCGCTTGTCAAATGTAACTTCTTTCAAAACTAGTACTATCGTTCTGAAATAAGGTTTCTCTGGCTGGATAAAAAGGGCGGAAAAAATAATTAATTATAATTATATATACTATCAAACTCCACTGCTGAAAATAGGCCCAACACATATTGCCTTATAATGGACTATATAATTGTCACGCTTCTCCATCGACTCTTATAATGTTCGTCCCGTAAGTAAAAATGACTCTTGCATTTCTTAAAACTTCCAGTTATGATTCCGAATGATGTTGTTTTCTCTTTTACTTAGTATCTCTTTATATAAACGTATCTTAATAAATGCAATTCATTTATTCATTTGATGCGATAATAATATTATCAGAAAGGGTAATTGTTTCAATTTAAGCTTAATTACGCATGTGCCAAGCTGCTCACATTAGTAGTCGTATCAACATCATTACAACCATCAGAAGTCCAGTGCTAAACATGGAACTATCCTAATTAATGCTTTCAAGTATCGTCCTGAATCCTTTTCATTTATCCACCAGTTCGTGTCTCCAACTAGTAGAGGGCCGCCCTACACTTCGTTTACTGGTGCGAGGCTGCCAGTCGAGTACAATAATTTCATCATATATTTATTCGGATATTGAATTTGAAACTGCGTCTATTTTTCTTGGAATTCCACGCTCAACATAATTATGTTGGCTATAAAAATATTTGTACTTGTGTCGAAAGCAATGGAAATCTCTTTATTAAACTAAGATTATTTTAAAGATAGTTCAAAGCATTAGATGTGAAGGGTTACGATAGTCAGGCCGTGGAACTAGTGAAAGGCTTTTATTCATGGCAATTTTGAGACTTTCGGCAAATTTCTTTAAAACAATATGTAAAGTAGAGTAAGATTTAGTGTTGAATTTTTTTTTTAATATAAATATTTAGTAACTTGTAGAGAAAAGATGATTTTGAAAATAAAAGTGAAAGAAAAACGTAATATTTTATAAAGCTAGCCACTGACCTAAAACTGTAAACAGATTTCAAAAAGTTCTTGAAATTTATAACTCGTGCGTAAAAGGTTTTGTCGAAGCATTATAGCTACTGAGCAATACTTATAGATTCATACTTATAGATTCATACTTATAGATTCGGTCTGTGGAAGTCTGGAAAGTGATCATTGGTAAAAATTTCTGCACGCAGCTTATGTTCTCTCAATGTTCACAATGCTCTCGTCAACCTTTAGGCGCCTTCAAAAAGGAGAAGGTGCTAAATTTGGCTGAACTATGTATGTAACGTGACATCTTTGTCAGTTATGAATCAATTTTGCTAATTATTAAATAAGTTATACTACAGGGGTGGTTTCATACAAATTTTACGAAAAATCACCCAAAGGATAGACGAACAGCGGATAAAGTGTTTAATACAACTATTTATTTCAACATTCTAGTTGTTATCCTAAGCGAGTTAGTTTACTTGGTCCACTCATTGACTTATATATTACTAGCGTAAGGACCGAGTCGACCGAACAACCAAAACGGACCAATGCGCTGGCCCTAAAATTACAGTTTACGTTTACGCCAACGCGACTCGATCGACAGTGGTGTACGCGCAGGATAGATTTGCCTGTCATAAATATGTCTAGTTGCGTGGTAAAAGGGTGCAAAAATTACGATACAAAGATTAAATAGGAAAATGTGATATCGTATCATCGGTAAAATAACCTTATATTAATTTTGTTTATATTATATTATTATATAAACGCATTTTTTAAAGTTTTATTTTACAGCTAGTTTAGTTATGTTACCAAGATTAGGCCAGGGTTGGATTCAGACCCTCAAAAATTGTACATGGAAAATAAAATTAGGTATACTATTTTTCAAAAATTATATCGCATTTGACGTTTCATGTTTCTTTTTCCCATGTGACGAAATTTTGTTGTCAAGTGTTATTTATCTATCTATATGTTTCGTTTTTTGCCAGTTTTATTTTTATTTCTGTTTAATTTTTTAATAAAGAAATTAGTTTAAGTTAAATTTTAAAAATTGGTTTGATTTTCATTATTGAATCTGAAAATCTGATTCATAAAATATTTTGAAATTCTGTTTTCAAACCGATTGCTTAGAGCTTAGAGTTTTTATCGAGGTAGCCCCTCATTATAGTCGTATCAAGAATGCAACATAAATGCATCGATCGAGCACCGATTGACCAGAAAGGGAGCTAATTCTAATTTTATTTAAAGAAAAAACGCAATACTCATGTACAATACAGAAATTCTCGATATCATAGCGTTAGTTTTAAATAGTAAAAGGACCCAATAATAATACAAGTTGACCTTTAGGTAAAGTTGTGGTATTTTCGCTTAGTATTATTACGATACTACATACTACAAACTATGAAATAATGGTACAATTAGGATAATAATTATACTACGAAATCCGACCCTGGTTACGTCGTGTTATGATATGACGTTTGTAGTATGACAGATGCGCTACTTTTTCTTGTATGAAAAAGTTTTGATTAAAATATTTAGATGGGCCTATCCTTCCTTTTGAAATCATTGGGTCCACTCATAAGCTGTAATGTACAATCATCTAGGAATGAAATGATTCACTTTTAATTCTCGGGGCAAATTTTTCATCGTGCTTCGGCACTTTAGTTGAGTTTCGAATAATGTATAAGCTAACGACTTTATAAAATTCCTCCGCGTAAGGCTTGTGTTAGGGTTTAGGCCACCGAATATGATATGCGAATTCACAACTCCAATATCGAGTAAAGTAAAAAATAGACGCAGTGGCCATCTATAACAAGTACGTGCAACGGAGTAATTCAACTTCAGGCGACCCACAACGTCAATCCCTCCTTTTGTATTGTTGTAAAATGATATAATTTCTGGTAATTTTTCCGGTTTTGCGTCGTTTACTGAAGCATCATTATGCATAGTTGAAAGTAAGAGAACTACTTTATTCTTCTTTGGACAATATGATACTATGGTACTATGATGCTTGCCGAATCCAAATAAAGAAGAATAAACCACTCGCCTCTTTTTCTTGAAATCGCTAGGTATTTCTCGTTTATTTTTTTGTATTGTTCCAACAATAGTCAAATTGTGCTGCATCACCAAATCTTCAGCTAGTGGAACACTAGTGTACCAATTTCCATGGTGATATTGCGACCCGTTCCAGATATTGGTTGAATCATTCGCTTTGTGATAGCCATCGTAGAATTGTCAACAGCATACAGCCCTGCAGGTTGAACTCCCACATACACCTCTAAATTCAGGGTATAAAATAAACGAGCATTTGCGGGTTTTTTAGGCATGTATTGCCTGAAACTACACTTTCCCGTAAAAGCTTCTAACATTTCGTCCAGTGTTATGTACTCACCAACAGTATAACACCGTTGACAAGCTTGTACAAACTCTTCAAACAATTCTCTTATGGGCGCTAATTTATCTTCGATTCTTCGCTCGTCACGGGTATTCCTGTCATCGAATCTGAGATTGCGCAAGAGAAATTTAAATCTTTGTACCGACATTACAGCTCTACAAATATCCAATCCAGTCCCATCTGGGTTGAAAACATCCGAGATACGTACGTGTGATGATTTGTATAGACCAATGAGATATAATAAACATATCAAAGCTCTTATTTCAATCATGTCTGTTTCAGATGAGTCTCTATCTCTTTGATAATAAAATTTTTGCGATTGTATTTTCTGATTAGTGTAAAGAACAACCTTTTCTAACCATTCTTTTGAAAATAGCAATATCCAGGCTTTTTCAGCAGTATCTGCTCCTCTACATATGGCTTTAGGTCCTGGCAAATGGGTCACGATGTTCTGACTGCGGGTGCGACATGTTGGTGGCGGCGGTTGCTTCCTCCATCTGTAAATTACTTCAGTCCTACCATTTCTTAATTTTCTGTGCACCATGTAACACTGTGAAGTTTGCAAGTGAGACAAGGGAACGTCATCTTCGCTGCTTGAACAAATTTTCTGATTTTCCGTAATAGCTTCTGGTTCTGAATCGCATTCTTCTTCTGTATTAGTTTTGTGCTCACTTATTTGGGGCTCTATTTCATCAACACCTTCTTCATCATCTTCCCCACCAATTACATCTTCATCTGAATCTTCTTCCAACCAGTTTCTAATACGTTCCTCTTGTGACAAACTCATTTTGTACTTCTAATAATAATTGCACTTTTATAACGTTGGTCGCGTGGGGTCAACTGACACCCGTTCACGAAAAATACGTCCGTAGCGTTCAATTTTACGGCGCATACTGAATGGTCACTTGTTTGTGTCGCGTATTTAGTCGTTATAGAAAGGTAGCTAGAGTTTGGATGCGATAATAATATCAGTATTTTAAATATTAAGAAAATAAACTTTTGACGGGCGTTTATTCGCCCCACGCGACCAACGGCGGGTTAAACTTCGTTCGTTAAATCGTAAAAATTACGATGTGAATTCATTATGTTACAATAGAAATAACATTTTCCTAACGTTTCATTTAAAACAATGGTACGGCACACACTACTGAGATTACAATGCGCTCAGAAAGTTTCATTTGGGACGTCAGTGTCAGTACGAGTTCCGAATAGCAAGGAGCTAAAGCGTTTTCATCTGGATCTATCAGACAAAATAGCAGCCAGATTGTATTAGACTCCGCTAACAGTATGGCGATAGAGGAACAAATAGAATTTTAAATTGTACATGTTCTCGAATTCATATCAATTTGTATTTTCGATTTTACTCTAGCATGCTTACATTTCAACTAAAACTAAAATGAACATTTATTTGGATCTAACTGCAGCAGAATCTAAAAAGTCCATAAATTTTGGCTGATACATATAAAAAAAATCATAAATATTTTGTCATAATTGTGCGGATAACATAGCTTACATGGCGTTAGTATAAGAATGATATCGAACATGGATGATATGAATAGTTAAAGATGTAGAAAAGTAATGAAACTCTGTAATGGCTCGCAAAGCATGTGTAATATTAAAATATGTTGTAATATATTTTCTAAAATGAAAGTTTACTTTAATTATTAAAATATTTATTATTTAAAAAAATTCAAATATTATATTAAAAAAACCAAAGAATTGGTTTTTTATTTAATTTATTTTCTAAGGTAAATTAAAATTTTTCATTAGAATTTCTTCATGTTTTCGATACATCAGCATTTGTGAATTTTGAATACTTGTAAATCAGATACACAAAAACTGCCTGTTGAATGATAATCTTTCTAAAGTTTAAACTCTCGATAAAGTAATATAACGTGTTAAACCAACGGAAGTTTCTTTATCTCCAATATCACAAAGGTGTGATTTATAAATAATAATTGTGAAAGCTAACTGTAATGGAAATTATTTACATGAATAATTAGTATTTCCACTTCCCCAAAATTTTTTTTTTATTTTTATAAAATGAAGTTAAATTTGGAATTGGAAGACTATCATTATTTTTATAAGAGGGATGAGAGTGATTTTCGAAGAGAACCATTATAACTCGTAGTAGTTGATCAAATGGATCATTCAGGCATTCTTAATAGATAATATCTTCAACTACAATATATTATTTATTACTTAATAAAGCCTACAGACGGAGTCATTACATAATATTTTAGATAAACTTATACATACATATAAAGAATAAAAAAGACTTTTTATTTGTATATTTTATTCTAAAAAAATGTTTTATAACACATCTAAACAAAAATAAAAAACATAAATATGAAGCAATAATAACTATGTTTAAGTTAAAGCTAGCTAAATGTTTTGCGGTTTTATGTAAAGGGTATAATAATAAATAATAAATAAATAAATTAAGTTAAACGAACTTAGCAGTGAACTTCAACCATAATTGTACGAAACTCCTTATCTGCGACGTTCTTTGCAACTTGTAGATGTTTGAAGACAAGTTTGCGAATGATAATACCAATGAATGGAAAAATTTGCGATTTTACTACTAAAAATATTGAAGATACTGTATGTAGTTATACATTTGATTTAATATCATAAAATTAATAAGTGGATCCGTAAAAGAACTATGACTGAAAAAACAACAATCTGAAATGTCTATTCCAGTTTAATTAATAATAAATTTTAATTTCGCATCATAAACTTGAGAAATACTTTTCGAAATGGTTTCATGTGAATTATTGTTAAATTTATCAATAACATTATTAATCAATATTCACAGGAAAAGCTCAAGCCCCTTTCATTTATTTTCCCATGCAAACCATGTTGATGTGAAATTCTACCTTATATCTTAACAATACATCTGAGCTTCACTAGGAAATGTTGTATACTCGTAAGAACAATGTTTACAAAATGTTATGACCTGTAACTTATCACAGCTAAGCTTGTTACTAGTTTTTTTTAATTTCTGTAATCTGAGATCTTTATTCCAATATTGTTATGTTAAATAATTTAAAAACAACTTATTATTAAGTCTATGTTTATAACTCAAACCTAATTAAAAGGGCACAATAGCCCATTCAGGTATTACAATACACTTAGTATAAAATTTCTACTATAGAGAAATAATTTGTTTTTTATTTTATAGTATATAGTATTTGACAAAGTAGAGTTCATTGTAATATTTAAATATGAATTTTAGAACGTGTCACAACTTAAAATGCTTCACTATTAGTATCCTGTGATTTGTACGAGATGATAGTAATATATGAAATAGTAGTGTATGATTCTCTGTAAAAGCGGTGTTAATACTTTGTTAGTTTATTCAAAATGAATAATTCCAATCTTCAATTTAACATGTCTTTGCATTTTAATCACATTTACATATAGTACATCCCATATGGACAAAACAAAAAAAAAAACCTATTGTTCTATAAACTTTGATAGCATCTTCACAGCATAGCAACGAGTGGAAATGCATAGAAAAAGAATCATCCCAAATCTTATATAACTAATTGTTTTTGGGTCATGCCTACAGAAAACCATTATTGTGTATATTGCTATTATTATTTCTTGATACTAATTGATCAATTGTTAGTGTTTGACATTGCATTAAGATCTTGTCGAATACACTTGAAGAAAATCCCAGGGCTATTCTATGTTTACTTGGCTCAATTTAAGATCAGATATATATAATTTCCAATACTTTTCATTTAATTTATAGGATTAATCCTCAATAATTAATAAATGAATCTTGTTAATGTAACTATAATTTTGTTTTCATAACCAAGGCACTAAAAACAGCTAAAAGCTGTATAGCGGATTTACAGCATTTATTTACTAAAAAATGCTATTATTATTATTATTATTTTATTCTTTATTACATCCTTAACAAAAAAATACAAAGGGTGGACTTAATGCCTTGAGGCATTCTCTACCAGTCAACCCATGGAGTGGTGAGAATTTGACGTAGTATAGAATAAGATAACACAAAACAAGTGATAATTAACTACATAATATATATAAAAACTACTAATAAATAAACTATACATATATGATCTATCCTTACATATATACAAATATATAAATAAATGGATATACATACAAGTAAACATATTTAAATACATACATAATTAGTATATAAAAATGACTATGAATATATACGTCTGTTTGGCAATACATATTAAATAGATGAGTCATGTAGAATGCGTTGTCATTAATAAATGATCACGGACCAACTTTTTAAAAGCGAACTTATTGGGAGCTTTTCTGATGTCATCGGGCAAGGAGTTCCAAAGGCGTGTAGCCTGAACTGTGAAGGAGTTACCATAGAACTCGGTGAAGTGAACTGGAGTACAGATTTTGTTGTTAGAAGAAGAGCGTAGGACCCTATCATGAGATGAGGAAAGATAATGAAATTTACTCTTAAGATAAGAAGGCAAAGATGGATCATTTAATATGGAAAAAAGTACAAGTAATATTCTGGAGTTGCGCCTCTGCCGGATTGTAAGCCAATTTAGCTTAGATCTGTATAGCGAAATATGATCATACTTACGTAGCCAAAAGATAAATCTTATACAGTTATTGAGGAGGCGTTCCAGCTTGTTCAGAAGATCTTGGAACAGGTCTGGGTAACACACATCTGCGTAATCAATTATGGGTAATATAAGTGAATGGACAAGCATGATCTTAGATTTTGTGGGGAGAAAATTCTCTAAACGATACAGAGAGCATAACGTGGCAGTGACTTTACGACTCACATCTGAAACCTCAGTTCTCCAATCCAGCGTGCTGTCGATGTGAAGGCCAAGATTTCTAACAGAATTACTGAATGGAATTGTAGTATTATCATAGTAAATAGGAGGTAAGTCTGTCAGATTAATCTTAGCCAGCATCCTTGAGCTACCCACCAGTATAGCTTGGCATTTCAAAGGATTGACCAAAACCCCATAACGAGTGGACCAATCCTTGATAGCTGCTAAGTTACCGTTAAGGTTTTTGATCCCATTATGGATATCCCCGATCTCAGTTTGCACATAAAGCTGAAGGTCATCGGCATACAAATGGTACGAGAAGTCGATGATGGAGGTAATAAAGTTTATAAAAATTGAAAACATTATAGGAGAAAGAATACCGCCTTGCGGCACACCAGCATCCACATCAGCCCACGCTGAGGACAGTTGCCCCACACTGACTGACTGCTGTCGACCGCGAAGATAAGATGTAAACCAATCCAATTCAGTAGGGCCAAAATTCAGGTGAGACAGTATGGAAAGAAGGATTTCGTGATCAACTGTGTTGAAAGCATTTGAGAAATCAACTAGTACCAGTACTGTTTTTTTTTCTTCCATGCCTTGTTTAATATCATCAATAACATTAATTAATGCAGTAGTGGTACTATGACCAGGACGAAACCCAGACTGATATATACTCAGTAGGTTATGTTTCGAAACAAAAGTAGAAATTTTCTTGTAAACACAGGATTCTAAAATTTTGGAAAGAAAGGGTAGAATGGATATTGGACGAAAATGATTGGGAAGAATGGGAGTAGGAACTTTTGGGAGAGGCTTTATAAAAGCCCTCTTCCAAAGATTAGGATACTGACCTGAACTGACTGACTGAAATTACCGGGAGAAGGTGCTCTAGTATAAATACTACCATATGTCTACTAATCTCGTCGTAACCCACGGCCTTGGACTGGATTGCTAAAATTGACTTTTTGACATCATTCTGAGAAACAGGAGAAAAATT